CCCCAAAACCCCAAAACCCCAAAACCCCATAAATAACTATAGATAATTGAATGCTCTGATAAATAAATGAAATTTAATATTTGGATATGATACTTCTGAATAACTCTCATGGAAGATCGGATCTATGTCCCTGACAAAAGCATTTGATAGTTCCTTTATCATCAGGTGGGTCAGAGTTACAATTATTATCACAAGGATTCCTCTTGAACTCAAACCTAGTCTATTTAGAACTAGCCTTATCTCCTAAAATTAAATACTCGTAATTGTTATCAGGATCACCGTGATAAGTTGGCATAAGTTTATCGCCCTTGACATGACCCAGGCATTTGTATACATTTAATTTACCAGTTACCTTGATGAAATTACTGCAGACCGATTCTGGACTTTAGCAGAAATCCCATTTACCCAGGTTGGGAGGCACAAAGGTTGAAGGATAAATCCAAAATTGATAATCTCTATAAGGATCTCCGTGAAAAGTTTTTGAATGACCCATGCAGAAATACTCTCTATACTTGGCATTAGTTTCTCCATGCTTATAATTATCGCAGGATGGCATAAATCTGTAGAAATAGGCTAAAGGATTTGCTTTCTTTGCTTTCACTCCAACTACATAAAAGGCAAAGTTTTTGGTAGGATCTCCGTGAAATGAAGGCTCTAATCCATCGCCATTTTTATGCCCTGAACAGTAGTACTAATATTAGTTCCCCTTTTTGGTAGCTTCTTTCCTTTAAGGATTAGAACATATGATTCTTATTTGCTGCTCATCATAGTATTTTAAAGTAGCTATGAATGACTAACTTAGCATATTTGACTTTATAGCTTTTATATACTCACCACTAAACTTAGCAACTTTGTTGATACCAGTAAGATCGCAATACTTACTGAAGCAAGATAGCACTATCGGATCAGCAGCAATGCTTGGCTACAGTTCACAGTGAAAGCTAAGACTGTTTATATGCCCTTAGCACTGTCTTTTCTCAATCTATGTCTCTGAATCAGTTGATATTAACTAAGATTTCAAGCAAGGACTTCTATAATAAGTAACAGTAGATGTATTGATTATCTCCTCTTTGCCTTTAATTTATTAATGGTAATTTGGATCTATGTAAAAGAAATTATCAATATCTCCGTGAAATGAAGGCCAATAACTATCGCCATCTTCATGACCTTTGCAGTAATAAGAATTTATCTCTTTTCCATTTATGAAATTAGTGCATACAGTTTATACTGGACCATTATACTCAGTCTTGCCTATTTTATCTGAAGGTTGAGTGACTTTTTCGACTACTCTAAATTTCCCCAAGGCATCTCCATGAAAACTCCACTTGCTTCTATCTATTTTTTCCATTTATAATATATAAATAAGTGTTTGCCAAATAGCTTTGGATATTTTTTAATTTACTTTTTGTTATAATTCTGTATAATTAAATTCAAATATCTTGGGGTTTTGGGGTTTTGGGGAGATTGGAAGAGCACAC